TTGGCCAGCGGCAGACACAGGGAAAACTTCCAGCAGCTTCTCACAGAAGCCACCCCTGTAGCCCCCCCACTACCAAGACCTTGCCACACAAACCCAATACAGTATTCAACAGTCCTGGGGCACCAGGTACTTGTGGTACTTTCTGCACACAGGAGGATCTGCTCACCACCTGAACGAGCAGAGGGAGGGGTGAGCACAGAAAGTCAAAAAGAGAGGTAATGGGAGAGCAGGCTACAATTTTCCCAGCCATAAAATCAAGGCTGAAATTTTCTGCCATGAAAAGGGCCCAGACTAAAATGGAGACCCAACCTTACAACTCCTGCTGCTGCTAGGAGTCAAGGATGGGGCCCAAGCATGCAGCCCAGACATTTGGCACGCAGCGTGGCTTTTGAGGGGCTCTTGCATCAGAAGAGGTGGCTGGGGGCTGCTTCGTTACTACGGCCATCCTGCTGTCCTAAGCAACTGCCTACCTTGCCTGGGCCCAAGGACAATCCTGGGTGACACAACGGAGAAAGAACACTTTTTTTCAAGCATCAGGCATTTGAAAATCACCTCAATCTTTTTCAGTCTACAAAACCAGTTTGGGATTTTGTCTGAAAAATTCAGAACCATTCATAAGGGCAAACGAGAACATCTTGCTGGATACAATAGCAGTTCTAAAGTTTTAAAATAAAAAAAAAAAAAAGGAAAGCCTAAAAGGGCAGGTCTTGTCCAAAAAGGCTGGTAGGAAGATGGGGAGGAGACAGCTGAGGTGGGGGGCAAGTTTTCTCAGCCATTTGGGATATTCTTCTCTGCTGGGAGGGTGTGCGCTGACATCTAAAAGCAGAAGATCCGGGATGAAGACTTCAGCACTAACTCATTTAAAAAAACCCAAACCACCAACCACTTCTGCCTTTTTGGGCCCATCTGGAAAAACATCAACACAATCTTCCATGACAGATATGTCAGGATGACACATTCCTGAAGGAAGGAATCATCAGCTTGAAAACTTGAAACCTCATCTTCTCAGCCTTTCCTCCTGTTTTTAAAGTGAGTGACAGATGAGTCAAGAGAGAGGGCAGAAATCTAATTAAAAGCTTCTGTGGGCATTAGAGTTCATCAAGCAGACATTTGCTTTGCTCTGAAACGCTGATCCTACCAAAGAGTGAACAGTGAATTTGCTAGGGGCCAAAGGCAAAAAGCAGGACAGGTTCTAGGGAACAGTTAGCTGGAAAGCAACAATGAAGGAGAAAGAAGTTAAGCCCAACCTGGCATGGAAAGCAGACAGAGATGAGCGAGACCTCACAGGAGTGGGCAGGAGGTAGGCTTTGACCCCAAAAGGACACACTGCCAACACCCGAGCTGATGAAAAAACTCCCCCAAAATAAGAATTGTGGTCTGAGCTGCGTGACAGAAGTGCTACAAGTTAGGGAGAGCTTTTAATATTGGAGACAAAGCTGGCATCTTTGTTTGGTGGTGCTGAAGACTACGCAGGGAGGCAGAGTCTGGAGTTTCTTTCAGGATGCAGAGCCCAACGACACAGGGCTGTGCTCCTGGAGCAGACAGGTCTCCAACACCACTATGGAAAAGAAGCTGATGTGCTGCCAGTTTTTCCCCCGAGCAGCACAGACCCCAGCAAAACCAGTATCACCTGCACAGCAGCCCCTCGGAGTGAGAGAGGAGCAGCAGAATTGCTTTCAGAAGTGCTCCTGTCAACTCTGCAAGCCACCTACCTTCTAATGGGCTCTGAAAGCAACTCCCGTCCACACCCTTCCTTCCTCCCCCCAAGCTGTTGCTGCTTCTTCATCACTCCTGCCAAACCAGGCTCTCTCCAGATTTTATCAGCATCGTCTTAACAAATCACCCTGGACATCACAACGCTTCCCTTCATTGCCACTAGCACCCTCTGCAGCCCAAACCCACCTGACTGTAAGGATGGGGGCAGAATGGGCTCCACCGCTCCTGTGTGACAACCCCAGGTTGCACATGCTGGGAGCAAGCTGGTATCTCTCCACAGCCAAAAGGGACAGAGCAAGCCAAGAACCACACTGTGAACCAAAGCTGTGCCACGAGCAGCCAAAGGCATGTGCCAAGACCCAGGCACCTCAATAATTGATAGATCTGACAAAACACGCAGGAAGGTGGAATTAACGGTGGCTCCCTGCCAGCTTGTCACCAAGTGAATGTCATTTCAGAAGACTGGGTGATGCCGTCTTGGGGATCTTTTCACTCTCTTGCTGCAGCAGAGGCCAGTTTTAGTCACTGGCTGCCTGCTGTTGGCATCAAAACCACTCTCTCAGCAGTTCCGGAGACACCACGAGGAAGTCCATACACATACATGCCTCTTTCCATGTGATGTCAGCCATAGCACGGTGTCACACCTTGTCACTTACAGTCACCTTCCAAAACAAGGCTGGCAGTCAAAACAAGCTGATGAAACTCTTTGAGGAAGAAGGAGGTGGTCTACAGCTTTCTCTTCACCCATCTGCAAGAGCAGGTAATGTCTGCTCCTGTAAGGTGATCCTCAGCTTCTGCTTAGATACCTTAGGAAGGTGTCCACCAAGTCCTTCCTATCACAAACACACACCAGTCAGTCATAACCCCTTTTTATTGATGAACTTTATAAAATTTTGCCCAGAAGAGCAAGACCATTCATAACAGATTTCTGCACCAGTAACATGCCTCCAACATGTGAGCATGAAGTTAGCCTGGGAAGAAATCAGTGTTTTCTTGTAGCACAACTGTCATTACATCTTCAGCTTTATTCATTGACCTTCCAGCCCTAGTTGAGTTTGGGGTTGGGGTGAGGGTAACAGTGGCTACCACTTCAAGTGAGGTTTTGTGGGGTTTCTTAGGTTAAGGTGAGTTCTTCAGAGAGAAGCCAAAGGGCAGGAGTTTGCTTTGCCTAACACTGGGCATCTGATGCCTATGTTCTGATGATCTTAAAGGTCTTTTCCAACCTAAACGATTCTATGATTCTACGTTTAGGTGCCTGAGTTTAGAAGCAGGGCTCTGAGGGCCTCTTTCACACAGTAGAAAGAAACTGGCACCTCCAGAAGGTAACTCAGCACACGTGGCTGCTTGTCTGCACAGGAAAACTAGCGTCACTGTCTTCAGAGCCGGATGCTTCTAAATTCAGCTCCTAAGTACAGCTGAATTAGGCCATGTCACGATCTTAAATGTCACAGCACGCCTTCTTGCAACACTGGCTACTTACACTGCAGCAGAAAAACTCTCTTAGCCATGAGCAAGAAGGCCACGCAGGTTAAGAGAGCACAGGAAACCCTTGCACAAGGGCAGGAGCTGAGGCAAAGAGAAGCGAGGGAGCTGGTTTATATCGATGACTATCTTGTAGCTCCCATTAGGGACTCAGAAGGGGAGACACTGTCAAAAAAAGAAGAGCAAAAAAGAAACCAGGTCCCAGAGTGGCAAGCGCATCCTTCTTCATACTTCCTTCTGCAACAGCAGTAGACAGAAGCCAGCAAGCGGCGTTCAAATATCAGCTTCATTCAATACTCAGGAAGCAAAGAGGCACATGAGGCCAGGCAGGAGGGACGCAGCTCCCCAGCAACAGGGTTCTGCAGTTGCAAAGCTGAAGTGGCATAACAGGCACAAGAACCCCCATGTTCCTCCTCATTGCCGCTCCGTCCATTTGCGGCACTCAAACAGCTGATCCCTCTGAAAAAGACTGGCGAGAGAAAGTGGAGGACAAAAGCAGCAGCTTTTGTTGCTGGAAGTTTGAACAAGACGGCACGACGTGCAGCGACCCTACAGCTGGGATGCACTGGCTAGACAAGGCAAGGGCATGTGCTCAGTGACGCTCTCTCTAATGGGAAGAACGTGTCTCTGAAACAGTTTTGCCAAAGCAAAGCCTCTAATCAGCCAGAAGAAATAAACAGTTCCATCCTGGATTCAATTCTTAACTCTTCATTACCACCTGATTCATTTTACACAGGTAATATCCTTCTGCTCTTTGTACGAAGAGGGCATCTGCCCAGCATTGCTTCCCACCACTTCCACAAAATTTCAGGAGCAGACTTTCGTTCCCTTCAAAGTAGCTCTTTGCAGCCGTGCATAGGACACAGCACCGTCTAAATTCGCCATCGCAACTGGTGCTGCAGTATACAAGTAGTACTTTTTTTGGCTAAGACATTAAAAGCCTGTTACAGAAACCTATTAAAGACACAGCTGATAAGATTTTGAGCAAAGAAGTGCGCAAGTACTCTCTCGGATTTCCAAAAGAGATTTTAGGTCACATCTCTCCATTGCACCTTCAGGAAAAATGAGCTGCCAAGATTAAAGCCTGCAGCTCACCCTGTCTCGGCACTCTTTACCCTGCAATAAGGCATCAGGACCATTGGATTCTGATGTGAGCACAGCAGACTGAAAATCCTGCTGCAGCTCGCCTGGAACTAGCTGTATCTTTAACAGAAGGTGAATGACACAGGCTTGACACAACGCGCTGCTGTTATCTTGATGGTGAATTCAAGCCACCACGCAACGCTTTGGCCTGTTGGATCTTCAGTACGCCCCAGATATCCGTGCTGACAGTCCTGGAATTCAAACAGGGGCGATGCAAGAATTTCTTGCACTTTCCAAGGCAGCTCCCTACCCCAAAAGCAATGCATTTACCAGTTGCTCTTTCCGAAGCAGTCAACCTCCCAACAGCTGATGATGGCGGCACTGCTACCATCGCCCTTACGTACAGCATTAGCATCCTGTGGGGAAGAGCTCTCCCAGCCATGTTTGTTTGCAGACCTGGCCATTTTACTGCTTTGAGCTATAGTGACCAGAATTTCCACAGCTACACATGTTTATTTTAAAAATGGTTTCCAGAGTCAGCGCAGCAGCCACTGTGCTGCTTGCTTCTGCTCTGTTGCTGTCCCAGTCCAAGGGCCATCGGCTCAAGAAGAGCAGGTCTGTACATAGATAAGCTGTTAGGTGCAGCTCTTGCGGCAAGGAGAAGTCGGGATCCAAGGAGGAGCTGTCCCATACGGCCATAATACATCCAAGGCTGAGTAGGAGTGCCACAGCATGTGTACAAGCCCACAAAGCCCAGCTCTGAGCAGGGAATAACCCTGTTCCCTCTGTCTTCCAAAGGGTTCTTGCCTCTGTGCCACGTCCCCTTTTTTCCCTTATTCACACCCGCAAGAAAGCAGCCTTGGGTGGTTGTGTTTCACATGCGATTCACCCGTGTCACTGCTATGCTACTGTGCAGAAAACCTCAGTGGGCAGCCACAGGGACAAGATTACCATCTAACCCTGGAAGGAGTTTGCTCCTCCACAAGCAGAATGTCAGCATTGCTCAGCAAACGAGGGAAGAAGAGGAAAGCAAATACAAATGACACAGTTCAAACTATTTCTATTTCTCCTCTAGTAGCAGGAAGGAAATGGCTTATTGTGTCAAATCTGGCAAAGCAGAGAGCTGAAAAATGGAGTCCTGACACCATACTGCTAATGTCAAGGGTGGATGTCACGAGGATGGAGCCAGTGGTGCCCAGCGACAGGACAAGGGGCAATGGGCACAAACTGAAGCAGAAGAGGTTTCAGTTGAACATGAGGAATAACTTCTTTACTTTGAGGGTTCCAGAGCCCTGGCCCAGGCTGCCCAGGGGGGCTGTGGAGTCTCCTTCTCTGGAGATATTCAACCCCCACCTGGACGCTGTCCTGTGCCCCCTGCTCTGGGTGAGCCTGCTTGAGCAGGGGGGTTGGACTGGGTGATCTCCCGAGGTCCCTTCCAACCCCTGCCATTCTGTGATTCTGTGTAATGCTTTTGCTGCCAGCACCTCTAAAGAGAGACTAGATACCCCATTAATACCGATTCAGACACCTCTATATATAAAAATATCTCCTAGGATATGGAGAGAGACCACCAAGCCTCCCGCACCCCAACGTTGCCACATGCATTAAGATTGCCCTATACCTGCATTAAGCCGAGACAGGATCACTTAAGACAGCGACAAGGAAGCGCCTTTCAGAGTCCCTTTGTGAACTCTTCAAATCATGACATACCTGTCCAAGTAGTTGACAATGTTGGGGTTTTTGTTTTCCCTCATCACAAGGATTTCATTAATAATCAGTTCTTTTTTGGGCTGCTGCTGCAAATTCATCTGTTTGATTGCAACCTGCAGTGAAGAAAGACCAAGTAAAACATTATTACATTCAAGGCCAGGTTGGATGGGGCTCTGAGCAACCTGATCTAGTTAGCGGTGTCCCTGCTCACTGCAGGGGGGTTGGACTAGATGACCTCTAGGGGTCCCTTCCAACCCAAAACATTCTATGATTCTATGATACAGGAGTCCCCTGCCAGTACCATTGGCAATTATTTTAGTCCCACGTTCACGGGAAGCGTGAAAACCCTTTTTCCTCACGGGTTGCTCAGCCATTTAATAACGCTGCAAGTTCCTGCAGCCAGTCCATTGCCACACATGCTGGAGGATGCTTAATGCCAAAAAGGACAAGGGGAATTACTATTTTCATACTGGACCTTTATGTCACGGTTGGATAGCCAACTCCATCTACAGCTTTTTGGTAACAAGGAGGAGATCCCCTAACTCTAGTATGGCCCGATATGTCAAAACCTTTTTCTATTTCTTAAAGGATTCTTACTCATTTTATTTTTAATTAGATGTTTCTGGAAGTTTTTTGGTGGGTTTTTTTCTGCTCCCATGAAAATTTGTGCTTCTAGAAATCTACAGCAGGGCAGCCAGGCATGGAGGGGGTAAATAACGTAGCCTAAGCTTAGTACTTCGAGGTGGTAATTCTATTCCTTTCTGTCACAGTAAGACCTGGGGAAAAGAAGCACCAGTGTTTAGATAATAAAAGGCTGAAAATAAGTAAATTGGATTCCGCTTTAGCCCCAGTCATAACGGAAGGGCAATAAGGATGGATTTGCCAGTTGTAGCCCTTTGGCGTAGTAGCTTTCTGCCCGCTTCAGGAATCCTACTCTGCATGTATATATGCAGAAAGCAGGAGGCCACAATATGTTTTTAACTCTTACGTTCAACTCCCCACATACCAGTAGTTCACGAGAGCACCTGGCCCTCAGACAAGCCTTCAAATCAATGACTACTCAGCACGCCAGGAGGCAGAAACACTTCCGTAGATGTTACAACCCAACGGTATTTGGTACAATATTTAGGCACAGGGAATGAAATGTAATTATGCTTTGACAAAACTGCTATTTGCAGAGAAAGAGACCTAGGCAAATGGAGGGGAGCCAGTAACTCCAGCTCACAAAAGCACGGATTAAAAGAAAGAAGCCACAGAGTGCCAAGATAGACGGATACAATTAGCGTTTTGATAGCAGAGCAGGGGAGACTATAGAAAAATCCCAACACATGAGAAGGCAAGGACAGACAGACACCATGCTGGTTTTCCACAGCATTTATGAGGGCTGCCAAACAGTACTTAAAGAAGGCAAAACCAAAAACCCTATGCTGCTCTTTGCGCAAGACCAGAGAGGAGAATGAAAGATGAAGAAGAGAGGGGAGGGATTTGATGTAGATAAAGAAATCCCAAACCAATACTGAGGGAGCTTCGGAGAGGCTCCTGTACTTCCCCACTCCTGTTCAGAGGTAGGCCTATGGTCCAAGTGCAGGCGGGAGCCTTTTCCTTATCTAAGACTGTCCCGTGCACTAGGACACAAAATAAACAGCTTGTAATTATACTAGACAGCCATCATCAGTGCAGATCTCTGGTATTCTTAACCCTGAGAGCTGCCCAAGGCTCCTGCATAGTGCAAAATAAAGCAGTTTCCTTCCAGTGTTTCCAAAATGTGTTGCTGTTCACTTGGCTCCTGAGCTGAAAGGATTGGTAGCAGCGCGCTTCACAGAAAGGAACAGGTCAGCAGCATGTCAAGGTTACAGTGATCCCAAATGCAAATTTAAAAATCCAGGGCCCGATCACACTAGTGGAATGGGAATGATTTAAAAGTCTGTTGTAACGTAAGGGTTCAAATATTCACGTGGGAGTCACCAAAGGGGTCTAGAAAGAAAGCAGAAAACCATCGAAGGAGTTCCTCCTCCTATAAAATTTCTCATTGCTTCAAAATAAATGCAACGCCCCTTCCTCAGAGGCTGCAATTAAACTGTATTAACTCTTCAGGAACTGGAAAAGAGGGTTAAGGAGTTTCAGCAAAAAGCACAGTTATGAAATTTGCCGGTGGCTAACCCTGACATTGTACAAATGCAAAGTAGACACACACTGCTGCAGACTTCCATAAATATATCTGGAATAACGCATATACTTTCCTCTTTAAAAATCCTCCATCTAGCAATAATGGTTTCCACAGATGCTGCATATCCGACCCTACTAGTTTATTATGCATGCATGCAACACACAGGGCACTTTTCAATATTTGGGAGGGAAAAAAAAAAAACAAAACAAACCCCAAACCCAGAGACAGATAGACATTCCTGTCTCTCAATTCAAGGGCAGAAAGCAAGTGGGCAAAGGGTGGCAGAAGAACTATTTCTATGCAAGTCAGCTAGTGTAAGTGTAGAAAGCAAAGGCATATAAAAGAGTTTAAATGGGGACAGGAAGGAATCTTGGGGATGAAGAGAGAAACTTCTACCAAGGAACCATCCAGTCTGAATATTTGCTTCCAGCCTTTGTGGTCACAGAAAGATTCTCTACAAATACGAAATGATTCAGGAATCAAAACTTGGGAAATAATTTTTTTCCAGTTCTCTGCTCAAACCACTCAACCATGCCTCATTAGTAAGGAAATAAATACCTCATTAGAAATAAGATGTCACAAACCCCTGAAAGACCGTCTTTATTTCGTAGCATCAACTCGAACTTTAAGGACGCAATCCAAAATGCACTGCTGCAGTATTCTGGCAGCACTTACCTCCTGTCCTGTAGCTACATCTATTGCCGTGTAAACTGTACCCGAGGCTCTAAGCAAAAGAGAGAAAAGGAAAAAAACCCACTTATTAATGCCTCATGGCAAGACTGAGAGCTTAACACATGCCCCTTCCCACTTGTCTCTTTGAAGTGCTCTCTGTCCCATTCCTTTTCACGCAATAATTCCAGTGGTAAATATCATCTAAAATATTTCTGAGCCGAGACTGCTGTTGGAGCAGAAGCCGGAGAATTTACAGGGAACAAAGCTCCTAATACAGGACACTACGGTCATCCAAACCCTTGCTGCTAAGCCAGCAACGTAGCACAGCTTGCAGGACCGTGAGTTGATCCCATCTAAACTGGCATGACTGCACTGCCCTGGCTTGCAGACTGCCCAACATGACTACAGAGCAGATAGGATCAGCCAAAGTAAACAAATGGGGCATTTGTAGCGAGGGAACCAGGAGTTTGAGCCCCTGCAGATGGGACTGACAGCAGATCTCAGTGATTTGCCCTGGTTTGCCGCATTATAGCCTCTCCCCCAACCCTGATTTTCCCCCTAGCCTGCTAAGAGGGGCACGATACCCACGTCGAGGACAGTTAATTCAGAAAGCAAATCTGGAATTTGAAGATTGTCTTGCACGCTGAAAGTAAGCAGTTCTTTCCCTGCTTGCAGCTATATTTAAGCAACCTGATCATCTAATGATATATTTTCTTACATTAAAACACAATCGCACAAAAACCCCAGTCCCTGTGACTGAAGAATTTGCCAGGAAAGGGAGAAGAGCTGGGCACAGAACCCACCAAAACAACCAAACACAAACAAAAAAAAAAAAAACAAACCCAAAGAAAACAAAAAACCAACCAACCAAAATAAACTCTCCAAAGCACCATCAACGGCTTTTCCAGCAAACTATCTTAGCGTGGTTTCAGTGCTTCCTTCTTAGCATAAGGAAAGGTACAGGACAGAGAAGGAGAGTATACTAACCCTTGTCCAATCTTCTCAAAACACGTGTACTTCTTTTTTGGATCGCCCACACTCACAATACTTCCTACTTTGAAAAAAAAAAAAAAAAAAAAAAAAAAGAGGATTTTGTGAGTACTTTTTCATACAGCTCTAAGAACCAACTGTACTTTAAGAGCAGCCCCATGGCCGCTGCGGGCTCTGCCAAGCCTCACGAACCACTTGCCAGAAATCCAGAGGCACAGGAACACCAAGGAAAACCTCAGTTATTTAAACACCTATCAGCTGTGGCATTCCCCTCTCATGGGTGTTTCCCCTCAGAAATGGTGGAACACGGACATTAAGCACTTTTAATCTTCACTGCCAGATGGTGACCATGCACTGCTAAGTGCAGGATGGGTATCCATAGACCTCATGTGTGTAAATACAATTATTTGCTGGAAACCTGCAACTTAAAGTCACCCCCAGCTTCAACACACAGGATGATCTGAGATGCTCCTGCACTGCAACCTCCTCTGAATTTGGAGGCCAGGGCCTTATTCATCTTGGAGCCAACAGTCTGTTGCAAATCTAGCCAAAGATTCGACACCCCGTTGATTTCTGGCAGAACAAAAATAATTTACGCTGTTTCCATAACCGGCAGGACCACGGCCATTACTGACCCAGTCACTGGGTTGCAAAGACTCGGGGGGGAGCTGGAGAGACCCTTCAGAGCCCAATCTCCCCTGGCCTGGGCAATGCTCAGCTGCTCTCCTAGGAACCCAGCAGCCACTGCAGGTTTTAGCAGCAGTTGCCACGCGACTGCAGCATTGCTCTGGTTTTGGAGAGCAACCCGAGGCAACCTCAGCTCATTCTTCCCTAACGTGGCTGTTCAGCCAGAAGAAAGTGTATTACTGCGTCCCTCGGAGGGAAAAGCACTTTGCCTGGTGTTCTACAACACGGGGCGGTGAGGGGCCCGCTCAGGCTCAAGGTGGATTTGCTATCCACGAGGACACGATGTTTTCTGTACGAGGGGAAGGAGCTCTCAGCACAAGGGCAGGCGGCTGGCAGGCTGCAGAGATGCGCCGGAGTCCCGCAAATTGCATGGTGGGTTGCCAAGGGGCAAACCCGAGAATCATAGAATCAATCACAGAATCACTTTGGTTGGAAAAGACCTTTAAGATCATCGAGTCCAACCTTTAGCCTAACCCTGCCATCCCACCACTAAACCATGTCCCTAAGCACCTCATCTATTCTTCTTTTAAATACCTCCAGGGATGGGGACTCGACCACCTCCCTGGGCAGCCCATTCCAGACCCTGACAGCCCTTTCGGTGAAGAAGTTTTTCCTAATGTCCAACCTAAACCTGCCCTGGCGCAGCTTCAAACCATTCCCCCTCGCCTACCAGGGAGAAGAGGCCGACACAGCTCCCCCCGGCTCCCCCCTCCTCTCAGGCAGTTGCAGAGGGCGATCAGGTCTCCCCTCAGCTTCCTCTTCTCCAGGCTGAACACCCCCGTTCCCTCAGCTGCTCCCCATCAGCCTTGTGCTCCAGACCCCTCACCACCTGACAAACTCAAGGCTCCCAGCAAACATTAACTGATATTCCTAACCCCCCTACGGCAGGCAGGAATCGCACCCTTTTTAGGCTGAAGCAATCAAGGCCAACAATTCCCAGAGCCCAGCTGGGAGCGAGTCTCCTCTCCAACAGCAGCAGGGTGGCCAACAGGCTCAAGGGCTGCAGAGCTGCATCTCAGTTGGGGTTTGCAAGTCACTCAGGCTGCCAACATACGGTGCTGCTTTCGCAGGGCTCTAGGGCTGAGCCTAAACAGATGTACGCTGGCAAAGAAACTGCTCCTGGCCATTAGGCCAAGAAATCCAGTAGCAAGCAGAGTAAGAAGCTACCTTCAGACACCGCTGGAGAGCAGCCAAACCCACAGGGTTTAGGGCGGACAGAGGTAAAAGAAGGGAATACGGTCCACGTTTGGAGAGGAGGGCAGGAAGAGAAATCTGACTATATAAACCCCTCTGCACAGGTAGGGAAGCAGTGCTGTCAGCCCCGAGGACAAGCATTTCTGAACAACCATTCCTAAACTTTCCCTCAAAGCCTAACACAGGCTACAAGTTCAGACTGCGAGACAGGCAAGCGTTTCCCCACATTAGTGACCGGGCAGTGCTGCAGTGCCAAGAGGCAGTTGCCAATATTGTCCTGTTTAATGCTCCCGTCTGTAAAATGGGGTAGTTTCCTACCTCCCAAAAAGTCAGGTGAGGATTCATTAATGTTTGGAGTCTGGAGCACTGGGTCCAGTTCTGGGCTCCCCAGTTCAAGAAAGATGAGGAACTCCTAGAAAGAGCCCAGAGGAGGGCAACTAGGATGATAAAGGGTCTGGAGCATCTCCCCTGTAAGGAAAGGCTGAGGGAGCTGGGCTTGTTCAGCCTGGAGAAGAGAAGGCTGAGAGGGGATCTCATCACCACCTACAAATATCTCAAGGGTGGGGGTCACGAGGACGGAGCCAGACTCTTCTCAGTGGTGCCCAGCGACAGGACAAGGGGCAATGGGCACAAACTGAAGCACAAGAGGTTTCAGTTGAACGTGAGGAAGAACTTCTTTACTCTGAGGGTGCCCGAGCCCTGGCCCAGGCTGCCCAGGGGGGCTGTGGAGTCTCCTTCTCTGGAGATATTCAACCCCCGCCTGGATGCTGTTCTGTGCCCCCTGCTCTGGGTGACCTTGTTTTAGCAGGGGGGTTGGACTGGGTGATCTCCCGAGGTCCCTTCCAACCCCTGCCATTCTGTGATTCTGTGACATTTGCACCAATGCTGTGTTAATACTAAGAGGTGGAGATTTATCAGCTTCCTTCTAACTTTTGCACATCTTCAGAATGTGTAAATATATATATATATGCTTTAAGATTTTAGTCATTTTATTCACATGTCAAACCAACACATGAAAGGGTTGCATGTCTTTGCATGAGTACTACTCCACTGCCCTCGGTGGAAAAACATCAGTTCACAACAGAATTAAACTTCATCGCATATTTCTGACTTGCCCACATCTAGAAGCTGACACCTAACCGCAGCCACTGAACTTCACCCCCCACGAATATTTCTAACAAAACCCCTCCCTGCTAAAGAATCAGTTCAGCGCTGAACACCACTTGCTGCAGCAAGCAAGGTGTCAGAAGCCACCCAACACTCTAAAGGGTGGCACTTCCACTTCTCGGCATTACAGAAGTGAGTGTATTCGTATTAAAACAGCACCTTTTTCCTGCCACAGTCACAGAAATGACTCCTCCCTGGTCACAAAAATGGCTTGAATCCTTAAGGATATGAAGGTCCTGCTAATTAAATGAGTGAAGTTGCTGTTTTGAAACCACGGGTATGAGTTTTCCAACAGCAAGCAGTTCCAGTTAACTTGCCTTCAATTCAATTTAGGCTTTATTCAGAGGAATGAGGTGCCCAGACGCCCTTTTAATTTTTTTTTAAGTTACACTCCCAGATTAAATTTTTCTTCATCTAGCTACTAGTCTTTGCTTCATAAAATACTGATCTTTAAGCATATACCCTCAACAGAGCAAGGCACGTACGGAATTAATACAGGATTAGTAGTTCAAAGAATTAGAAGTGCTGTACCCTAATAAAAACCAGCCCAGGCTGAGGATAACAAGGCGCACAGAAGAGCTGGTTCAGCTGTCAGATATGCCACAGCATAACCCAGAAATACCAGGCAGCAGAGGAGCACTTTAGAAGGCCCATGAAGTGAAGGTAAGGACTATTAAAGATACTAGGACACAACAGAGACATGTTTCTCAGGAACAACTACTAATATGGGAACCCACACAATGTCAGGACACTTAAAAATAACCAAGTGACTTTTTGTCATGGTATTGTGGAAGGGGAACTTAGGGATGCATTAATCTTCTCTCCATCTTTCAGACACAGCAGGAAGCTCTGCTCACCTTACCTCTAACATTTCAGTATAATCATCCACGCTCCAGAGCTACAGAATATCAAGATGGGAAACAAATCTCAGACTTCATAGTTAAGTAGGTGTTACTTATTCAGCGCTTGTTTTGCAGAGCCTGAGGATCTGTAACTCCCCAGGGGCTTCAGTTGGCATCACGGGTGCTCAGCTTACATTTATCCTCCCCCCCTTACATGCGCCCCCAATTTTGGCACACAGTCATAGTGCAATGTCTTCAGTAAGGGATCTCAAAATGGGAATGTCAAAACATTTTAGCTTATTAAGATTTTGAGAAATCAACACAGCAGGACCTGGAATTTAATTTAAAAAAAAAAAAAAAAAGAAAGAAAAGGACATACTTAATTTTTCCAAGATCTCTTCATCTGACATTTTTGGCTTTTTCTTTTGTTTCTCTGTGTTCCTGACCAGCATGTCAGGCATTGTTGTGCTGTTTTCCGAGGGAGAAGAAATAGGAGAGGTCGCCACATCTCTGGTAGGAGGAGGAAGGGGGTCTATCACAGAGCGGGTGTATATCTAATTTTGTTGAGGAAAAACATACATATTAATACAAATCAGATGAAGACTTAAACCACTTCTATTCATCTTGTTATTGTTCTTGCTGCCATCAGGGATGCATTTCTATTGCTACTTTGTTAACAGCAAATGCCATTAAGCAAGGACACTCTTGTCATGTCCTCCCCAACGAGGCAGGTGATAATTTGAAGGTACTCTGCCAGAAGAATGGCTCCCTCCGGCTCCCTCCTCCTCCCTCCTGCTCCCAAGAAGGGCTCAGCACCGTGCCACGCAGGGTGGGTGAGGAGCCACAGTCAAAACCCGACTGTGATTGCAGCAGCAGGGGCTGAAGGAAGTATTTCTGCTCACAGATTTTGTGTGTTCAGGTCTTGGAGCTATCACAGGGGGTGGAGCTGCATCATCTTCATCATCTTCATCTTCAGACACTGAGGGCACTGCAGGGGTCTCAGAGACAGCCTTCACATTCTGCGTGTGGTTACACAAACGGCAAAAATAAAAACCCAACCGCTTGTTATAAACAAAATCACAAACATTGGATTAAGCTCCTAACAGAGAGTGCATCAAAGCAAGTGCAGAAAAATAACAATCGGAACAGGCTAGCAAGTTGCAAGATCTGAAAAATCTGAACCCCCAAAGACCTTGAGCCTTTGTGGGAAATGGAGGGGCAGTCCAGCACTGCCTGACGCAACTGTTCAGACAGAGCTTGTCATCTGCCTGGGTGATGGCAATCCTCTTCCCAAGGACTTGGAACTCACCCGGGCTCTCTCACTGCCTTCCCACACCCAGCAATCCTGGGGACAACATCTGGGTTTGGAAAGATCTGTCCCTATTCATGCTGCCTCTTTGGTTTTGCTGCCTGCTTCAAACCCCGATCATGCAGGTTGGAGATTTCAGTCTTCAAATGTTTTAATTTGCATCAAAATCTTAATGTTTTCTCTAAAAGTTGGGAGGTCAAGTTAGCATCAGCTTTCGTGTTGTGACTGAGAACTATGTAAAGAGAGATTTTGGAAGCAGAATCTGGTAAAATCCTCTAAAATAGCTTTTAAAATGTCTTTCTATAAGAAAATTTTATGAAAAACTGGAACAATTTTTTTTTTCGAAGTTTAATAACTGGTTGAAAAAATTATCTGGAATTTTTTGCAATACTTGGATTGGAAATCAAGCTCACTTTTAAACTTTCAGATTTGAAACTGGATTTGAAGTTCATGGCATCCTTCACATTCTAAACATTTCAAAATAATCTTGGCGAGATCCTCAACCCACTAGACCCTATCTGCTTGTGCATCATCAGCTCCCTAAGAGTGGCAGGGGAAAAAGTCTTAAAATAAAGTTCTCTCTGACAGAGGGGGAAAACAATGTAGTATTTCACTGAACCTAAAATACTTGAGGTCCTACCATGTGACTGCTAAAGTGCACTTGCCATAACACAAAAGCTTAGCCTGTTAAAAGCAACAGGAAAAACAACCTATGGACTGGGAATTTCCTGACTATCCCTAAAATTAAAGGTTACCCAGTATCTTCCAAAACCATCAGGCTATCTCAGTGGACTGGTAACTGCTGCTTTTTTTAGGATTTACTTTAAAATCCACCAGCCTCAGATATTCTGAACTCCTGAGGATTGATGCCCAATGAGATGCAATAACGAACGATGGCAGAAACATTCTCCTTTTTTACATTTTTTACAATGAGGGTGGTAAAACACTGGAACAGGTTGCCCAGAGAGGTAGTGGAGGCCCCATCCCTGGGAACATTCAAGGCCAGGTTGGATGGGGCTCTGAGCAACCTGATCTAGTTAGCAGTGTCCCTGCTCACTGCAGGGGGGTTGGACTAGATGACCACTAGTGGTCCCTTCCAACCCTAAACATTCTATGATTCTATGATTCTATTTTCTTTTCGCAGACAGTCCTAAACAGTCAGCTCTGAACACGCTGCCTCCGGAAGGGAGCAGAACAAGCCAGCTCTAGCTAATGGCATGGCAGTGAGAAAACAAGAGATAAGGGAATTGTGGGGTTTTATGAATCATCTTAAACTGAAAGTTTTGTTTCTTCCATCTCACATGCACATACAGAAACGTATCGTGTCTCCTAACAAAGCAAACAGGAGTGGTGCCTGCCCTGGTAAGGAGAGAGTAAAGGTCAAGCAGAGAGGAGGAGAACCTTTTATTTCCTTTTCTGCTGGAGATTAGTTTGGTTAATCAACACTAATCAACATTAGTTTTGGTCAATCAGACCTTGCAGGTTAGTAATTAAACTTTGTTATATCACAGATGTCTACAGAGACATACAAAACCTGGAAGCAGAGCAGTTATCCAATTCTAGGTATAGAAACAGATTGAATTCTATGAAAACAGAATTATTTGTATTAAGTCACTAATTTCTATTCACTAATTCACTATTCACTAATGAAAGCTACTTCTGCCTACTTGATTCTCCCCCAGTTGAAAAAAAAGTGGGAGGAGCACGCCTGGTTTTATAAACATGTATTCACTATACAAATATATATAGTTCAGATTGTAAAACACTAAGAAGACTGAAAATTGGCATGTAGTTAACTACTTTATGCAAGTTTTTAAATCCCCACACTCGAGACAGAATGTGCATATAGGGCTTACCAATGTATTTGATGAGTTGTAATCCTCTGTTGATTTATCTGAAAGAGGCAGATAGTAATGCCATTGTAAATGAGTTGTAAACACAGCAGCAGTGGGGAGAGGAGAAAGGGACAAGCTCCCTTCGGAAGGGGCAGGAAAAAAGCCCTCTCCCAAACCTATGCATTACCTTCAGCACCCCAGAACAAGCTGACAGCCTGCAGATGGGGGAATAGAGGGTAAAAAATGCTGCAGATAAATGCAGGGGCCCCAGATCCCTGCTGCAGGAGGGCGGAATTTCCCAGAGCAACACCCAAATGAATACTGTCCTCCATCCATTTAAAAAAAATATTTTCAATGGGCTAAATCACCAGCAGAGGCACTGCAGCTAGCCCCAAACCTGCAAGATGTTCAGTCTCAGCCCCCTGGAATAGCAACAGAGGATCCCACAAGTCAACTGGTGGGCTTCTTGTTTGACTATCCAGGCACATATGGGGAAGATTTGTGCTTTTATCCCTGCCTGGAGCCTTCCTAATTAGTACCAGTTCTGGTGACATGGCTCTATCCTCTTAAAAAGAACCAAAGCAGGGATTAATATTTAGAAAGGGAAGGAGTTAAGAGTTGAAAGGGAAAAGGAGTTGTGGTTGCAGGAGTCCTCCAGTGGGCCGGTAATCCATACAAAGAAGGCGCAAAACCTTGGCAGCTTTGTTTTTTAGAAGAATCCAGCCAGCAGTTCTCAAGCCCCTAGCAGCTGAGGCGTATTCCTCAATCACGGCACATGGGAGCAGAGAGACCCTCACCCCAAGCATGCATGAAGCAACATCCCACACCCATGCCTGAAACTGGTGCAAAATTTAGCTGCCTCTTTTCTCCAGGGATTTTCATCACTGGGAACCCAACACCAGTCCTCTGGGATCTGCCTTCCAGATGCTGGCTGTAAGCTTCAGAAAGCCTAGGTGTTTGGGGGATTTAGCCCCTTGACTGACCTCTTTTGCTGCTAGGCTGGGTGTCAGGATTAACAGAACAGCATTTTAAAAGGAAGAGGGGTGCTTGAGCAGCCAGAGAATCTCATTCACTTTATCCTTGAAAAGACAGATCTACTTGTTGATTAAACAAAAGAAATCCCACATGCAGTGTCTAATGGAAAGCTGGACAAAGCAGCCATATGAGACGATCACCTGTGAAACTCATGTACTTCTGGCTGTTGGAGATCTTCTTGGAGTTGTAAAACTCCAACACATCCAGCACTGCCTGGGGGTTCTTCTTCTGCTCCGACTTGGTGATGTTGGAAGTCTGCAGTAAACGCGCCCATTGCTCCGGCATTCCCTGTGGGGAGATGTACCTCGTTAGCTCACAGTCGGCCTAACGTGGTTCACAGCACACCCCCCCACCACGCAAGTTCTGCCACAATTTCTGGGGTCACTCAGTGCTTTGGGGGAAATAGGGAGAAAAGAGGAGAAGAAAGGAAAAGGATCGATACCTTCCTAGCCACCGTCTGTGTTACAAGTCACATGTTCCTTACATGGACATGCAAAAGCCACCCTTCTCACAGGGCTCTGGGTGAGTCCCAGGTCCTTTGAAGAGCAAAATTCGAAAGACAGAAAGCAGCAGACCCAAATGTTGCTGCTCAGTAAGAGCCTCAAGGGGAAAAAAAACCAAACAACCAACTCTTTATATGCAGGTATACACATATTTACATACATCCAAGAAAGACTACAGAAGTGACATACACTGTATAGCATCAAGGACAATGAACATGCAATATTCACTTGGGTCTTCTTGTAGCGCTAGAGTTCTTTGCTAATAGTGGGTTTGTGCCTATTGTAACCAGAGCTGGGAAAGCAGCGATGTTAACCTCACGTATGAAGCTCAGAATTTCATCACAGGGACATCATTTCAGCCAGAAAATAAATACGTCCAGAGTACAACCCGACTTCTGCTTTTCACCATCAGCAAGAGTAATGGTTTGTATAGATGAAGCAGCAAGCGCCTGGGATCTTCTATCAATAAAGTTACTCTCCCTGTTCAAAAGGATGGCTGGATGCACCACTCAGGTAAAGCCCTACTGGTACATCCAAGTAAAGCTGGGCAAGTCTAGAGGCTGACATGCAAAACACAACTGCGCACGCAATTCAGGCTAGGAGAGCAAAGTCCCTGAAAAAGAAGCATAAAGACAGCTAAAACCAGCTCGCTCGCAAACAACTTCTACTGTTATTAAATACTATCTCATAATCAAATTAAGAAGAATAATATGACGAAATACAACTCTGTCTTCCCAGTATTTTGCATGTCGACAAAAAAAAACCCGCATAAAAGCATCTGCCATTTAGCCCTAGGACAGCACATACGCATTGTGTCATAAGTCGTTACGCACAGTTGTGTCGCCCCTACAGGGGAACTCTCGGAGCCCCGTTTGGCAGACAGAGACTATGCTGTAGACCTAATCCAGCTCTAGAAGAGGAGGGGAGTGGAAGGGAGGAGAGCTATACCGTGTTTTGCTGTCCACACCAGGCAAAAAAAAACAGGAAAGGAAAAGTTTGCTGGCAGCCTGGGCTCCTGGGATGCGCCAAGTTTGACAAACAGTCTCTCAGCGGGAATTAGTGGGTAACCTCTGCAGATGGGTTTCAAAGGAGATCAAACTAGATGATGGCAATAGCTCTTCCAGCATTACTCTATAAAAGATTAATGGGTCCTGGCTCCTCCTAGCAATAAGCCAAACCACACAGTTCTCTTTTCCTCCAGATTCACTTACTGTGAATTCTCCCGTGACTGCATCAAACCCCACATGAATCGTGTGTTCAAAGTCTGAAGGGAGGGAGATCTCCGGCCGCTCTTTCTCTTTCTTTTTATTGGCTGGAAAAGACAACAACAACAACAAAATTTCCATAAATCTGTCAAGAATTAAAATCTTCCCAATGGCTTCCAATTTCGCCGCCCAACCACACCCCCCTTTTCCTAGTGATAGGATTTTGAACTGGGGCAGACAAACAGCAATTTTAAAAACTTTGTTACCTCACTTAAGAGCAGCCACAGTGAGTGGACAATAAAAATCAAAGTCCTGTAGCACAGGACAAGCGTAACACAAGGAAACTGATATTTTGGGTATGTCAAGTATCAACCGGCAGGGCTCGATTCAATAGCACAAGAGCTATTTACCTAAAATATTCACTCAAACTTACATAGGTCCGAGTCAAAAGCACTACAGCGGCAGTAAGTTGGAGCCACGCGGCCCTGAAGACATTTTTTTAGTCGTTGTTTTAAGCAACTTTTAAAAAAATACTGTGTGCTGTTAAATATACATTCAACTCTCATATTTAGACAGGGACAAAATTAACCACAAATACTGCTTATAAATTGCTTCCTTCATCCTACAGCCTCAAAACAGAGTGTATGAAGAAAACCAAATGTAACACGTGTGCTTCTGCTACAAAATCTTACATGAGCAAAACCATTTATATGTTACCGCTCGCAAAATGAACTAAGCGTGGTTTTAATAACAAGCTTTGAAGACACAGAGCAAGAGGGCAGAATCCGGCAGGTGAGGAGCCGAAGCAATGAAGAAACAGGAAAGGAAATAAGTCAAAGCAGATGCCCTCTGCAAATTTTCAAGTCAGGTCTTCAAACCAGATTATCATTATGCCTTGGATTAAGTTCATTCATATTCATGACATATTAAGGACTCCACCTTCCTTTGAATATTTACTGTATTCAGGAAACTGAGATAAGTTTAAAGAACCACGTTCTACTCAGATCAGCTGCTGCTTGCAGTTATAAAATAAGCAGAGCCAGGAGAAGGTGACTAAACCACTTATGTTTCCCAGCTGCTACCTTTTGTGTCTAAAGCCAAATAGAATTTGCTTCGTGGCTGACATTCCCCAGCACATTTTTGGCACCATGAATGCCAAACCCCAGGTATGTCAGAAACCTGTGAGGCTAACGCTCAATATCGCAGTTATTTAAGGCGCTGCTGGTGGTTAGTTGTGTCGAGATGGTCAGAGCTTGCCCCAAAGGACCGAATTCCGTTTCCTTCCGTGCCAGCTCTGGCACCGCTCTCCGCGTCATTACAGAGTTGCTGTTGCACAGAGTAATTCTGGAGAAAGGAAAGGATCAGATGCTCCATTTGGGGCATGAAGATGGAACAGATTGTTTTCGATCCCTCTTTCAAACAAAGAGGACGGGGGAGGCTGAATCGCAGAAGAGCGATGGAGTTGCCAGGGGGGAAGGAGGAGAGAAGGCTGCCGTGCTGGAGCAGCCATCGCAGAGGGGCGAGCTAGGAGGAGGCCGAAGCAGCTGCTGGTTAGCAGCTGGGGAGCATCTGCAGCACGGAGGACTGCCAAAGAAAGGAACAAGCAGCTGCATCCAGCAGGTACACAGAAAAAGCTGCGTGTGTTAGCGGTGGATGGAAAGCAAGAGGAAAAGAGATGCAGAGCGAGCCATCGGAATCACCATATTCTATACGCCCGTCTACAGGATCAGTCCGTTCATCCAAGCCCAGGAGCCCATCACTCGGGTGAGGAAGAGGAGGGCACATGTTCTAGCACCACCATGCAGAAGTGCTGCAGGGGTGATGCACAGCCACAAATGGTCCAGGACGACTGCCACAGAAGATTTGAATTTATCCCTAAAAAAGCTAAAGGGTATTAAGTTGCTATCCAGAAGTCAATATGCTTAAATGCTTTTTTTTTTTTTTTATTTCTACATTCAGACAGCCTGAGTTCCCTGCTGCACGCTCAAATCCCAACAACCTTCTTGTGGTCAGGGCTGGGGCTGGGCCCCTCCCTCCCCGAAGGACCTGGGGGGGCTGGAGCGTGTCCAGAGAAGGGCAGCGGAGC